CCTCGGACGTAACATAGGCTATATTTTATCAAAACTGGAATGTGGACAAAAAAGATATACCAATTTTCGCAAACAAAATTTACTTGCACCAAATTCTTTTGAATACAATTTTGCTTTTCAACGGCATCAACATATGCCAGTGTTTATTTTTCGTTATTGATATATTTTTTTCAACTGAAATAGTAATTAGTGTCGTTCGTACATATTGAAAACGGTCTTGAACATAGATACATACCAGGTTAAACGTTTCTCGCGAAGTTTTGTGTCTTACAAGAGTGGTGTGTTTCTAAGAATCCGTAAGTCAAAAGATAATCGGTAGGTAGAAACTGATTTATTTAGATTTCTTTGTGTTTCGTGTATCACTATGGGATTTTGTACATACAAATTAATTAGATATTTTGAAAACGCTCAAATGAAAAGCATGTTCTGTGAATTAAGCGGATATAGTTCGAAGCATTCCCTTAAGTCAAGAATTGACATTTGGAATTAATTATGTATTTACATTTCTAGCGAATTTCTGATTTGCGGAATTAAAAGAAATTTCTTTAAAAAGAAATAAAGCGTGTGGGTTCAGCATTGACTTATCGAGAAAAACGTTTTTTTTAATTTGTGTGAAGTATTAAAATTTTAAAGTAAAAAGAAAATGCATGCGCAAAACGAAAAACAAAATTCAATAAGTGCTTTCCCTATGAGCGAGAGATATGTACATATCAATGAAATATACATTTGGAGTCATAAATGAGTCTTTAAGGAGTCCCATTTCGGAGCCTTTACGCTCATAATGAGCTCATTTAAGAGCCCGAAATTAGTGTGTTTTCCTTCCTCCGAAGGTCGACTTATATGAGCTTAAATTCATACATCAAATGAGCCTCCAAATGAGTCATATTGGACTCTTATTGGCTTCATAAACGGCTCATTTTGGACTCTTTTTAAAGCAATTTTTGGCCTCATATATGAATCGGTTCAGAGTTTTTTAAGGCTCTTAAATGTGCCTTATAGTCCTCATAAATAACTTCATTTGGACTCTTATTTTATGTTGTCCTTTGAGCCATATTGGCCTTATTTTTCAACTCTTATTGAACTTCAAATACTATACACATGTATGTATACATACCTCAGTTCATATAAACATTCCAACAT